TTGACCTTCCAACATATTTTCTGAGACTGAAATCACACGAAGAGGTTGCCCAACTTTCTCCCGATGAGCCACTGGTGGATTCAAGACTAAAAAGAAACATCCCCTTTGCATATGCAGTGCAACTGCCTGACGACTAGGCCACTAGGGCTCTATATTAGAATAAGAAGACTTTAAATTATACCAATATATCAGAGACCTTTTTTATTAATGTGTCTTAATGTCTACTTCTTTTACTTAAAAATGCAAGCAAAGGTCTTGTGGTACTTTTGATTTTCAATCGTTGTTAAATGCCATCTAGTCATAGGTGACTCATTGTGACCCTATGAACGAAAGACCTGAATACTTGTATAACTTTCATCCTTTCTCCAGGTTCATAGGGTTTCCAGAGGCAAGCTATTTTGGAAGTGAATGCCACTCTTGCTTCCAAGCTTATTTTAACTGGGGAGCTTCACCAAACACTGTCCATCATGGGTAACCATCATCACATTTAGACACATCAGTGTCACAGTGTTCAATTTCACAATAACCAGTAGTTATCTCTGTACAGCAAGTGGACAGACTGGGGCTGTATGACCTTGGAGAATATTTGACCAAAAACAATTAAAAACAGACTTTCGGGCCTGTGGCCCTTGGACCCTACAGTATTTTACAATTCCAGTATACCCAAATGCTGGCAGACTCTGGGCCAGAGACCCCCAATTCATCTGACAAGTTCCCTCTGCTGGCACCCACTTGGGACGAAAAGAAAACAATAAGAGCCCCGAGCGTTCCATATGTGTCCCTCCTTAAGATGCAAGAGACCATCCTAAGGTCCAGCTGGAACCGAGATTCACAACACACTCGGTTTTCAATTAGTGATGTTTTATTTAACATTTAGCCTAGTTTACCAGTGCATTATTACTTTTGACTGTTATCTAGATGTCATACATGCACAGAATTAAAGAGTTGCATTTTTTAATTAAAATGTTCTAATTGAAATTAGTATAAATATCATATTTAGCCTGATGTCATACATGCAAAGAACTAAAGAGGTGTATTTATTTAATTGAAATGTTCTAATTAAAATTAGTGTAAATATCATATTGCCCTGGTAATCTGAAAAATACAAAGAATTAAATATGATTCTCATTTCTCTGCTTCCTTATACTTTTTAAATTGTATTAATTGGATCATGCCACACGAGTCAGAACCCAGCGTAGTCCAATGAGGTTTTTAGAGCTGTCTATTTTTTCACTTTTCCTTTAAAGATAAGAACAGAGGATAGAAAGGTCAAGAACATACTAAAGGCCAAAAGAGCAAAGCAAGTTTATAAGCAAAATTCTTAAACCTAAAGGTATTCAAATGTGTGTCATGTTTTTTATAAGATAAACAATGAGGGGGAAATACAGACATTTTTAAAAATTTCTATGTACATTAATGCTAAACTCAGATGATATGTGATTAGACTGTTGTGTAGATAAGCAGAGAGTGCAAGGGGGGAAAAAACCCAAAAAAACCCAGACAACTCTGATGGTTTTCAACTTGGCCTGAGGGAGATTAAACAAGAAAGCACAATTTAGAAACTCATGTCTTGTTGCCCGAAAATAAAATGTAAACAGTTAAAAAGCTTTTAACATTCTTTACTGTCACAATTGTCTGAAGACCTTACTTACCTATCCATCACTCTGCTTCTGAAGGAAGGCAGTTGGGGGAGGGGAAGGGAGCGTGTTTACTTGCCTAGATGCAGTCATTGCTTGACTCCAGTTTATTACCAGACATTCACTTTCTGGTGCTGCATGTTTGAATCTGCCAGGATTGGAATGCTTAGGTGTTAGTTGCTGACAATTTCACAGTCATTTTAAGCTGGGCCTGCTTTGGAGTAAGAATCGGTAAAAGTAAGGTCAGCCCTCTTGCATTGCCTCTGGTTCATTAGAAATCATTGCATCATATTTTTTTTTAAAGTCTCACAGAGAATTGATTAGAGCTCTTGCATTCTTTAAAGGTTAAAGGATGAGAAAAGAAATAAAAAGGCTGACTGGAGTGGATGTAAATTGGAGGTTTTCCCCCTAGCTTAGGCTCCTAAAAGCATTTTCTGAGCTGAAAGTTGAAGCTATAGAACAAAGCAGTCAATCTGAGGCAAAACTGATAACCAGACTTTTGTGGACTCAGAAATAGATACCTTATATTTATAGTATTGCTGTCTCTCACTTCTTAGGCTCCCAATTATCCATCCTTTAGTCTATGACTGTTACTTATAGCTACATTTTTTACATTACCAGTTAAAATGGTAGGTGTTTGTTACTTTATGCTTTTTTTCTAATATTAAAAAAAAAAAAAGTCTTGAGGGAGCTCTGGTGGCTTAGCGGTAACAAGCTGTACTATAATCCAAGAGGTATGCAGTTTGAATCCACCAGGTGCTCTTTTGGAGAAAGAGGAGCAATCTCCTGTACCAGTCAGATCCAATTTGACGGTACACACACAAACAATAATAATAAAAAAATTTCAAAAAGTATTAAAAAGGTAATTGTATGTTTTAATATGCCTGTGAGTGTACATGTAAACCAAATTCCTAAAGTTTTTTACATTGCATTTCCGCTTTTTACCCTAGATTATATATATTAAAAAAAATCTCCCTAAAAGGTAAATGCCGTCACTTCAAGATCGCATTTATACTAACATCTTGGAATAACAAGCATACTGGATAATTTAAACATTTATAGAAATGAAAGCCTGTATGAACTCCAGACTGAAGTCTCTTTCAAATGTATCCAGCTGTAACGCTCAGATTAAAGATAGTCCCTTCTGAATGAGTAGTTCTGAGAGAGGAAAGATGATTCTACATAGAAATGCTAGGTTACCTTTTTTCCAGCTTATTGCCAGGCATAGAGGCCTCCCTGGCACATGTATTATCCATTTAACCCTGGTCCCAGTCCTATCAGTGAGACACCAGAACTCTCCATGCTATAGATCAGAAGACATAATAGTAAAATGTATCCCGTCTTCCTTGGCAGCAGGTACAGAGCAGTGCAAAGGCAGTGGGGAATGCTTCCAACAGTTTTTCGTTGTTATTTTAAAATCCTTTCTCTCATTCTTTTGCATAGTGGATGAAACCTTTTCTTTTAAGCTCTGGAATTTCACAGCCTGTGTCTGAAGCATCAGGAATGGATTCATTTCTGCACTGACCATCTGGGGAGGGAACAAAAGTGGAAATAGCCCTTGCAGATATCGTCTCCTACCTCTTCCTCATCAGTCCTCCATAGGACTAGCAGTTTGCCCCCTTTGTACTTCTTTTCTTTAAAAATAAAAGTCACTGATGTTCCAAATGTTACAGTTCTCATGCTGTTCTAAAACTATTTAAGGAGATTTAGAAGAACAGCAAAAATGCTGTGCTTTTAGTCTGAAAGCATGTGAGGTTAGAAATCAGGCCATCTTCTAAAGCTGAAGCAGTTTTACTTTCAAATTTTGAAAGATGTTTAGTGGTTTCTGTGCTTGATTATGAGGAAGAGGCAGTGGAAGCATTTATTTCTCCGTTCTGGCAGTATATGACCAGCCGGTCAAGAGCACTGTGTGAAGCATTCTATCAGCTGAGAGAGTGACAGAAAAGGCAAAACCAGCCTCCTTGCATATTTATGTCAGAGTCATTGCATCTTTAAAGAGATATTTTTCAAAACATGTTTTGTTAAAGAGATATTTTTCAAAACATGTTTTGTATCCCTAGATGAAACTTTCGAAAGAGCATGTTATAAAAGAGAGTTTGTGAAATCAAATCCAGTTTACCTCTTGCTTTGTAATCTATAAGTAACTTTAGCAAAACACATGGTAAAAGATGTCCAGAAAATTTCCAGCGTGTTATTAACATCAATGTTATTGCCATCATTATTTCTCTTATTTCTTCCCCTCTTTCCTCTCTCTCTTTACCCCTTCACACTCATTAGACACAAACATGTTTTTGTTATGTGCCATTAAGTTGCTTGCGACACGTAGTGATCCTATGTAAAACAGCCCTAAACCCTGACTCTTATCTAAAGCTAACTTCACTGTCTGACACACTTACCTCCATTACTCAGTCACTGAGTCAGTCTATCTCATCCAGGGTCTTCTTCATTCATGCTTCCCTCTACCCTTCCATGCATGATGTCCCTCTCCAATGACTGGTCCCTCCTTGCAGCATGCCTAAAATAGGTTTAATCAGAGATTCAAAAATTCTAGCCTCCAGTGAGCAGCCTGGTTTCACCCTCTCTAGGATGAACCTGTTTGTTCTCTTAGCAGACCATGATACATTCAGTACTCTTCTCCAGCACCACAACATAAAGGCGTCTATTCTTCTTCTGTCATCCTTAGTCATTGTCTAGCTCTCTGATGCATAGCAAGTTATTGCAAAGACCATGGCCTTAGCAGGTCTAAGTCTCCAGACTGTCATCATTGCTCTTCAGTACTTTGGAGAGGTCCCTGACTACAGATCTTTCTAATGCAATTCGTCTTTTGATTTTCTGGATGTTGGTACCAAGTGTTGATTGTGGAGCCAAGCAAGCTGAAGCTGTCAACAATCTCAATCTCTTCACCGTCTACAGACACAAACATATATAAATAGATGCTTATAAAGTTTTATAAGTTTTTTAGTTGTTTTGGGTTTGAATATTGTGGACAACATCTTACTGCTTGAATTCACACAGTATCAAAAGAGGCATCCTTACTCTTTTAAGGGTTTTATAGAGTGACATTAAGTACTTTATTTTTATAGTTTATATGTAGAATTCTCTGGTGGTCTAGTGGTAAGGAGTTGTGCTGCTAGCCTAAAGGGACATGGTTCAAATCCACCAGCTGCTCTATGGGAGAAAGATAGGTACTCTTTTCCCTTACAGTTTATATCCTCTGGAAACCTGTTCGAGGGTCAGCTATTGTGAATAGGTAGCACCTTGACAACAGTGACCTTGACAACGGTGAGTGACAGAGTGAATTATTATGTAGAACTTCTAAAATGCCTCATTTTCTTAAATTCTTCATTTTATTTGCTTTTCTAGACACCCCTTTACCTGGTAAATCATGGTGAGACTGGACCAGTCAGATGCAACAGGTGCAAAGCCTACATGTGCCCATTCATGCAGTTCATTGAAGGAGGAAGGAGGTATCAGTGTGGGTTTTGCAACTGTGTCAATGATGGTAAGTGGTGCCTTGGTTATTCTGTTTTGGTGGTTTTTTTAGATTTTATTTTAATAATTTTAATGAACATTTACAGAGATTTTGGATTTCTATTCATTCATTGTACTTTTCTCCCTGCCCAGCCCTTCCCTGTCTCCACCCAGTTCGCTCCTCTCTTTGAAAAGTAAACGAAAAATCCTTTCTTTGGTATACAATCCCCCTGCACCCCTCCCACCGCCCCAAGTACACTCAACTATGCAACCTTAATTGTGGACTCTTGTGATAAATATATACCCCATCATATATTGCTTTTAAATTATTCTCTCCCGCATCTGTTTCAATGCAGTACACTGCATTGATTATTCTTTGTGATAGTGCTTTATTTAATGGAAGATGCTGCATTTTTTAGCTTAGGAGAAGCAGGGTTCGCTTTCATCCTTTTGTTTAGTACCATCATCTCTGTCATTTAACTGGAAGGAAGTCAAGTAGAACATGCTCCATTTTTTACCACTAAGCCACTCCTGCCCTTCCACAGCTCCACGAACCCCACATGGAAGCTGCAGGGTTTCTACTAAAAGAAAACTCAAAAGGAGAGAAGGAATTCTGTCTCTTTACATCAAGTCTTACCCAGAAGAAGATGTGACATTTTACCTCGTATATTTCTAGATAATAAAGCTTGGAGAACTTTTTCCCTTTTGTCATTCCTCAGTTTTCCTTCTGTATGAGCTTGTTAATATTTAGGAAATGCTTAGGTGTAACTAAGGACTTTAACACATATTTCAATTCCTTTCCTCTAATGTAAATCCTACATTGTCTAGCGAGGAAAGAAAATTGTTGTGGGAAACTTTGCTATAGCCTCTTTATTATCCACTGTATTCCAATACCTACAAACTTGCTCATCTGTATTACATTTTTGTATTACATTTTCTCACTCTTTCATGTAAAAAATAATATGCACTTTTATGTTTAAAGAGGTTTTTTTCTTAGAACTATTGATGTGATGATTATTATTCAGAGGCACATTTTCTGCTTGTTTTCCTGTCTTTGTGGATGTTTTTTTCTGCAGTTAATTGGAGCTGAAGAACGTGGCACTCTCTCCCTACCCACACAGCATGTTCAGCAGTGAATCTGAGGTTGTAGGGCTCCCTGATGGCTGAGCTCAAGCACAGTCCTCTCTGCTTGTCATTGCTGTCAAGACAGTACTGCTCGGTGATCATTCCTGGGTTGGAGAGCTCTGCTTGTCTCCTCTCTTCCCTGCTCTTCATGGCCCATCACTTTGCTGACCTAACAGTGCCTCACTAACTTTGTCTTTCTCACAGAGATCTTTAATCAGTTCTGAAAAATTCCTTACTGCGTGGAACTGAGTCATTGGTTTCTGACTGTTATGCAGACACTTTGTGATGTCTGTCTCTCTGTGCCAGCTAGCACATGTAGTCAGTGGAAATTGGATATCCCAGTGTAACTAGATTCTTTTAGCTCCCACTTTCACTTCTCTTGCTAAGGAAAATCATGCCCTGTCTCTTCTGGAGGAAATCTACAAGCAAATATTTGTATATTACTAAATCTTGGGCCCTGAATATCAGGAAGATTTCCTGGTTGGCATAAATGTTAAAATGTGCAGTTACTAACCAAAAATTGGAAGTTCAGATCCAGCCACAGTCTGGTGGTGATCTACTCTGATCTGATTACAGTCATTGAAAGCCCTGTGAAGCACGATGTTACTCTTAAGACATACTCACTCACTAGGATCAGAATCCATTCAATGGCAACTGGTTTTGGTTTTGTTTTTTAAATTAAATAAACTCAGTAACGATTTATTGTCTGTGCTGTAGGTTGTTTGTTGTTTGTTTTTTTTGGTGTTTTGGGGTTTGTTTTTTTTTTTTTTAATGTCATAAGAAGGTAGAAGCATCTTCTGAAACATTTTAAATTCCCCTCCAAAGTCCCAAGTTCTTCCAAGCCTTTACCCAGGGAGCTCTGGTGGCCTGGTGACAAGAAGTTGCACTGCAGTCCCAGAGGCATGCAGTTCAAATCCACCAGATACTCTGTTGGAGAAGGAAAGACAATCTCCTTCTGTACCAGTCTGATCCTATTTGATGGTACACACACACCAAAAAAAAAAAAAAAAAAAAAACATTTTTTAAAAAAATAAAGGAAAACAAATAAAGCCTTTACCCAGATCTTCAACTTTTGTGTCACGGTGACCAGAGATGTTCTTCCCCGCCCCTAGCAGTTAGAGCATCCAGGATCTTCAACTTGATGTGTCTCCCTGACCTCACTGCCAGAGTGTAAGCTCATGGCCTTAAAAGGTCCAGCCATTTATGAGTTAGGAGAGTCACTCGGAGTTCTTGCCAACCGTGGATTGTTATCTCTGCACAGTAGATTTTGTTCCTGTGAATATCCACTGCTAGGAGGCTGCCATGTTCATGTTGCAACAGGATTATTCATACTGGGCTCAAATATTTGTCCCTGTAAGGAATCCAGACTCCCTTGGATTTATGTTGACACCTACATTCCTCATTTAAGTTTAGAGAAGTCAGAAGTTTGTTGCAGTTAGAAGGAACCCAGCAGGCTTGGTTGTGTGATTCTGCTCTATTTCTTTGCAAATTGCCCAGAGATTGCCCAGTGGGAAGCATATAAGGTCAAAGGCCTATAGAAAAATAAGGATCAAATGGCGGTGCATTGTTTCTAGTGTGACTTTCATTTTAGTTGATAAAACATGACAGATAACATTAAATCCTAAAGTATCTTAAATTGGTTCATTTACAAGAATAAAAAATCGACATATTACATGGAAGAGTACGAATGTGTGTTGCAAGTTCATCCTCTGTCTCATTTGATTGCAATTTAGGAGCCTCTTTGTTTACTTAGCTGATGCTTTCAATTCAAGTTTTTTTCAAGGTGTTGCATTTTTCAAATTTAGAGCTCTTTTTTGTACTTAGGAACTTTGTAAACTAGCTTTTTAAGAAACTGCCGTAGTACAGTAAGAAAAGAGAAGACTTAATATAATTTTAAGCCCTACTTAAGAGCACAGGCCTGTGGTATGTAATTTGTGTGACAACTCAGTATTGGCTGTTGTTAGTTGTGAAACAAAAACATTGCATCTTTGGTTTCACAAATGAAAATAATGTTGTTCTTTATAAAATGCTTAAAATTAGTTCATAGCTGCTTATTCTAAATTCTTCTGCTGGCATTTAGATTTGATGGCCGTGCTATTAATCAATCTCAAGGCAGCAGGCGTCTGCTTCCACTGAGATACCAGGCCATATTTGTGCAAGTGTTCAGTTTGTGACTCATCAGTGTTGCTGTGCCTCTGGATGACTTCCAGGTCTTTGCCAGAACTAACCTTCTTAGACATTTGAATCAAATTAGAGTTCCTCAGTTGAGGTCTGAGTGGTGTGGTCTTTCCCTAATACAGTAATCCTGTCTACTCTGAAGCCCAAACATTAGATGGTTACCATGCAAACCTTGCTGTAGCTGAAGACATCTCTCAATGAAAGCATAAGAGCTATTACAGTTAATTTCACTGGTTAACTACAAGCAAATTTCTTCATCCATGCATATTTCTTTTAGGTATAGTGAAATCAGAATGCTTTTCAAAAAGTTAATTAAATAAGGACAAATAAATCTGAGATCCTGTAATACCCAGTAAAAACACCAATACCTACATCCTGTTTCTTTAAGATTATCTAAAACCTAGATGCTTTTGGTCATCACTAACTCATTAAAGGGGTCATGGGTATGTTTTAGAAAGGCTACGTACTTTCCTAGACATGTTTTTGAAATAGTGGATCTTTAGCATATGCTCTGGTCTAGCTTTAAAATGCCCTTTTCTCATACTAAATCTTTTCCTCCCATAAATTTTTGAGGACTTTCTAAGTTGTCTGTGTTTATGAAAACAAAAGAATCCTTTTCCCGTTTTGCCTTTCTTAGTTCCACCGTTCTATTTCCAACACTTGGACCATATGGGGAGAAGACTGGACCACCATGAGAAGCCAGAGCTATCTTTAGGATCTTATGAATATGTGGCTACTTTGGATTACTGCAGAGTAAGTGTTCCCAGAATGGAAGTGTTTATCCAGTGGTGTCAGAGCCAAGTAAATAAGCTGCATGTGCAAAGAATTGACTCTTATCTACAAATTTCTGATGCCACTTATTTACAAAATAGTTTACTAGTGCCTTGGAGATGCAGGTCCCTAACATGATGAACCTGGGAAACCATCCATTGAAGCTAGAACCATCCATTGTTTCCAGAAAAGCCAGAAATAGAGAACAGTTTCTTTCTTTCTTTCTTGCTTTCTTGCTTCCTTGCTTGCTTGCTTGCTTCTAGAACCATCCATTGTTTCCAGAAAAGCCAGAAATAGAGAACAGTTTCTTTCTTTCTTTCTTGCTTTCTTGCTTCCTTGCTTGCTTGCTTGCTTGCTTGCTTGCTTGCTTTCTTGCTTGCTTTCTTGCTTGCTTGCTTTTTTGCTTTCTTTCTTGTTTTCTTTCTTTCTTGCTTGCTTTCTTGCTCTTTCTTTCTTTCTTTCTTTCTTTCTTGCTTGCTTGCTTGCTTGCTTGCTTGCTTTCTTGCTCTTTCTTTCTTTCTTGCTTTCTTGCTTGCTTGCTTGCTTGCTTTTCTATGAGCCTGTAGCAATAAGCTCAAGTATGGCCAAGACTGTGAGGATGGCACAGGATCGGGCACAGTTTCCTTCTGTTATGTGTGAAGTCACAGCAAGTGAGAACCAATTTGACAACAACCACAACCACCATGAGCCGTAAAGTTGCATAAGATCTTCAGAAGTAATAAAAGAGGAATCTGGGGTGGTATGAAATATCGAGCTTTTGACTACTAGTCAAAAGGTTAATGGTTTGAACTCACCTAAAGGCATTCGAAAACAGACCCAGTGATCTTGCTCTTGTAAGATCACAGCTTTGAAAACCCTATGAGACAGTGATACTTTGCAGCATGGGTCACCATCCATCAGAATCCACTCAGCAGTATCTAACAGTAATAACTAGATAGAATTTACCAGAGCTTTAATACAATGCTCTACATAGTGTCTTCTGCCTCCCTGATTTTGTTAACAGGCACATAAAAATTTTCCTTCCAAGGAAAAAACCTCAACTCATGCTTCTGTGGCCCCCTTCTCTATCTCAGTTATGGGCAGTTTATTTAGGCTTTTTCAGCAGCCTAAGTTCCTGGTCTCTGAGTTTTCTTTTTTTAAAAAGGTAATCATGAGTCTCCGCCCAGTATCTCCCATGAGCTGATACTGGGTCTTACTTACTTTCCTGAAAAATTATGTTCAAACAAGTTAGCTTTTTCTCATCAGGATGTTAGCTATCAAATCACAAGCCACCACCCCATCTACACCTTCATAAAGTCTCGACCATTTGCTTTGGACTCACCAGCCCCGTTTACAATTCCATATCTTTATATAAGGATCTTTTTGAACAAAATGCCTTTTTCTCTTCCTGTCACATCTTTATGTGCTTTACCCAGCAAACCTCTACTAATTCTGAAATGCATGACTGAAAACTAAATTTGTATGTGATTGTGTGTCCAAGGTGACTGTGTTAGCATCTCTGACTTTATCACTGCAGTTATTTACTGCCTCTACATTTTTTCCCCAATGAATTTGGCCTATATTTTTGTTTTAGCAATTGTCCCCATAACATTGAAATAATTTTTACGGCTCTCTTTATAGAAGTCCTGGAAGTTCAGTGAGTTAAGCATAGAGCTACTAACCAAAGGGTCACTAGTTCAAATCCCTTCCGTGGGAGAAAGATTAAGCAATCAGCTTCTCTAAAAATTTATGGGTTCAGGACCATTTGAGGCAGTTTTGTGTCACATAGGGTCACTATGAGTTGAAATCCTCTGGACAGCAGTACGTTAGTGAATGGCCCTTTTTAAAGTTTTTGGTATCCTATTCATGGGCAGTAAGAATCCCACCCAAGTCATCTTTACTGCACCCACCACAATGTGTAGCACAAGGTAGGCATTTGATCAATGTGAAAGAATGACCTTGTAGATATGTTATTATTCCTAGGAGTTACTGTTTCCCATTTCCATTATCATAGTAACAGTGACATCATTATGGACACTATTCAGGAATTTCTAATTCTTCAGGGATTTGGGTATTCTTGAGCAGCAGTTCAGATTTCATTGTTTATTCAAAACACCTTGTGTAGACATGAACAGACAAATTATTTTTGCATTAGAAAGGAATGCTTTCTAATGGCCAGGTCCTGGAAAACAGCCTCTGGTCTATGTATTTCTTAGGTGTTTGCTTGGGTTAGACTGAAGCTTACCCTTAACCAGTCTGTGGCTTGGGCTGAAGCTTACACTTCTCCAGGAAAGCTGGCAGCATCAAGGGAGGAGAATTTATCTGACTTTTTTTTACTCTCTTCAGTTATTTCACTCTTGTTGCTGCATTTTGTCAATTTGGAACTGGCTCATAGCTGACCCTGCACGGGGTTTTCAGAGGCAGTAAATCACTTGGAAGGAGATTGCCTATTCTTCTCCCACAGAGCTGCTGGTGGATTTGAACCACATGCCTTTGGGATTGCAGCACAGCTTCTTATCACCAGACCACAAGAGCTCCTTTGTTATTTCAGTAGTTGTTTGCTACTAATTTAGATCTTAAATGCTGGAAAGAAGTCCCTTGGTACATGTCTTTCTGTCTGTCTGTCTGTCTATCTATCTATCCACAGAACTGTCACCTGCTAATGTGAATTAACAGCAGGACCTGTTTTTCTCCTTTGCCCAGTAAAATATAGGAGAGCACCTTGCAAATATGAGGTCCTCTATGTGCCCATTATGGATATTTATAACAAAATAATAGCCAATGACCATTTTAAAGTTTTATTAAACAGAGTTCATTGGTGTTCAAACTTCAGAACACAGCCTTTTTCCAACTGGAAAATTTCTCCATTGACTGGATTTTTCCCCATTTCAGTAACTTACTCCATTTCTTGCAGTGTTTTATCTGATTGTGTCACATTATATTACATGGAACTAGTTATGGAAGTTAACTTAGTGCTTTGTTTGCTTAGTGTTTTGTCAAGTCTGAACACATATTGGGAAATTTAGAAACTTTTTTGACACAAATACTTTATTTCAGGCAGAAAGTTTGCCACAGTAACAATTATTCTGGAACATTTATTTGGATCTTTGCAGCTATTGACTGAACCAAAAAAATCATTAGACAGAACATAAACATTTGAAGTTCCAATTAAATGTAATGAGGTTATTAGAACCAATGATGGGAATTGTGTTCACTGATCTTTGCAACTGAAGCATAAATCAAAACCATGCTCTGAAATTCTCTGCCAAAATGGCTACATTATCTTGATTTTATGCTTTTTTTAGAATAAACTTGGGCAAAGGGTCTAATCTATTTCTGGAGGAAAAAAAAGTCTTCATATCTTAAAGTCCTATTATCTGAATATATTCCAGATGTCTAATTGATGGGAAATCTCACCCAGCAGACACAGAACTGAATAAAATGTGTACATTTTAAAGTTTTTATAAGCTTATCATCCTATTATTATTCCAAGTAGGATTTATAGGAAAAGATGCTGTAAATATTATCAAATGCCATTATAATTAAAAATGTAAATTGAAGTATAATAATGAATAAATTTAGGGGTTTGGATAATGAAAAGAATTTATTTGATTTGTGCAAGTATTTTTTTTTATTAATTGTAATGAAAATTTCCAGAGACTTAGGGTTTCCAGTCATTCATTGTTGCACTTTTCTCCCTACCCACCCCTCCCCCCCAGCAAGTATTTTTTTTAACACCATATGAGTTAGTCTGTAAATTGGAAAGTAAAATTTTTCTGTGTTCATTTTAAGAACTCTTAAACTGATTAAAAAAAAATAGTCTTTTTGAACATTTACTATGTATCACGCTCCATACTAAATGCTTGCTATGTATTATAACCTTTAATTCTTAGAGATCTCATGTGTTATATAGCAAGCTGAGGTCTAGAGAACTTAAACACTGGTTTTCGATGATACAGCTAGAAAATGATAGAGCCAGATTTGAACTGCATGTCTCCAAGACCTGAAAGAAAGCAGTTGTTGTTGCATCAGGCCATACTAATGTTGTGTAGAGCTGATCTCCATAGTGTTGTCAATGCAGATTTTTCTAAAAGTGAATTTCCAGACTCTTTTTTTCTGGTATCCCACTGGGTATATTCAAACTTCTAATATTTCAGTTACCAGCTAGTTATGTTAACTATGTATAGCACCCATGGAGTTTACCTTACCTAGCATGTACCTAGAAGCCATGTTTTTGTTTTTTATACAGTACAGATATGCAGGCACATATATTTGCAGGAAAAAATTCTTGGGAGATAAGACTTTGTCTTTGTCACATAACTGAAAAGGAAGTTTATTTAAATACATCTGCATATAGAGTACCTTGGAATGTAATTTTTTTCTTAATAAAAAGATCACTTCTTCACTTAATTTTAATTTATCAAAGGGCAAGGAGTTCTTGTGGACTAGTTGGCAAGGAATTGTGCCACCAGTTCAAAGGCAGATGATTCAAATCCACCAGCCGCTCCACTAGAGAAAGGCTGGCAGTCTATCTCATGCGATTTACAGCCTCTGCAAAACTACCAAGTCTGTTCTGATAGCTCCTAGTGGGTGGGAATTACTTTGCTGAGAGGCTGTACGTCTTTAGCAGTTCAAATCCCCTAGTGGCTCTGCAGGAGAAAGATGGGCAGTGGTTGGAACCAACTGACAACTGACCCTCCAACAAGTTTTCAGAGACTGTAAGTCACACTGAGGAAATTGCCCATCTTTCTCCTATGGCTCATCTGGGAGAGACAGGATTTGGGGTGAGCAGCGCAACTTCCTGTGGACTGTGCCTCCAGAGCTATTCCATGTGATTTACAGGCTCAGAAACATTGTAGAGAGTCAGCTATGAATGTGTGATGAGATGGCAAGAGTTTGAGTTTTTTAGTATCTAGAAGTGGTAGGAGTCCCTCAGGTACCACAAAGAGCTCCATTACTAACTGAAAGATTTGATGGTTCAAATCCACCCGAAAACACTTTGGAAGACATGACCAACTATCTGTTTCCAACACATTATACAGCTGTGAAAGCCCCGTAAAGCACAGTTCTATCTGAAGTACTTGAGGTCACCAATGGTCAAAATGTATTTAATGGCCATTAATAGGCTATATAGAAGAACTGGTTAAGACTGGGTAAATTGTTGATATTTTCATGGTGGAGAGTGTGGTGAGAGGAGAGAAGAGGGTATAAGGGGTTTAAAAAAAATGTGTATATATATATATATGTTTTATATTGAGATTCTAATGGAAGTTTACAGAGAACTTGAATTTCCATTCATTCATTGTTGCACGTTTTCCTCCCTACCCCCACCCTCAGTTCGCTTCTCTCTTTAAAAAAGAATTCTTCCATTGTTGCACAGAGAGTATACTGTTGAGAAAGATAAGACAATGAAAAACAGTCGGAAAATAAGAATGTCAGGAAAGTAGGATGTTGCTCCTCCTGCCTGGGAACTAAGTCATTGAGATGTTAGGCCATGCCAGAAGCTGCAGAGATCTAGAATGAGAAATGGATTTTATTTCAAGTCACTGCAATTTGTTATGGGGTAAAGATAGTCTCTTCCCACGCAGTTTACTACATCTGAAAACTCTCTGCAGGATCAGTTATTAGTTGTTTTTGACTCAATACATAACAGTATAATTTGTGAGTACAAGATCAGTGACCTTTAGAAGAACAGCTCCCTTTTGATGGAATAGAGACAGAGAGTTAAAGGATTAAGCTTGGCTGGATGAAGCACACTGAAGTGAACGGATAGTGTAATGGATTAGAGAAGCCAGTGATGAAGCCGCTCAAAGCACAAGATGACAGGCCCCTGGGTGGAAGCATGTTGGTTTTAGGTGCTGTTGAGTATGACTTATAATGAGCCTGTGAAGAGCCAGCCTGAACCAGGCCCTATCCTGTACCACCCTCCTCACCTCCAACACCCTCAACCCATCTCTTTGGGATCTTCCTCTCTCCTTCACTGACTATCCATCTTTCCAAGCATGTTGTGTCTCTCCAACAAACAACCTCACCTAGCTACATATCCAAAGTATGGGATAGGGTAAAATATCATAAAGAAGCTTTTTAAAAGAAACAATAGGAAATGAAAGAAAAGGAATCATCAGATCAAATTCCGTGTTTCCAAGCCTTTGAATTAACATCTCATGATATTGATGGAGACAAAGAAGTTGGAAGAAAATGTGATCTAGAGGAATGATGAATTCATTTTTAACAAAACAGGGTAGGCATCCCAGTGGAAGTGCACAGTGATATGGAAACTGTGCAGAGAAGAAGTGGTAATATGGAAGAGAATACAAAGATGATTAAGATGGTTAGTGATTTTTACTCAGTGTTACAAATCCACATAGACCTGTGTTATGAATTAGATTAAGTGTGGGAATCAGGACCAATTTGCAATAAAAATTAATCACATAGATAGCAGTAGAGTTTCTTCATTTCTCTGTCCATCTGATTTTGATAAATGTGACAAAGTAAGGAAGTTTTCAGGATTATATTTATTTAAGTTTTGTGTTTTGAAATTTCCGATGAAAACTTAGGGTTCTTGTCATAATTTTATAATTATGTTAGTAGAAATGTAATTTTATTATAAAATGTTTTTGTTATTTATAATAAATTTAACATTCAACCAGATTTAATTTTTCTCCTTATGAAACACTAACGTTGTGTGCTTGTGGTTCTCTTTTCTAAATATTTCATAAAACTCAAACTGAAGAATCACATCTTAAGAACTATTTGAACATCAGCCAGTAAAGGGGACCAACAGCTATAAAACACTTTCCTAGCAGCTGCTTCATGTTCTAGGGATTATTTTTTAAAAATAGACCAGAGGCCTACAGCTCTATATTTTTTTTACCATAAATGTATAAGAAATTAGATCAGTTTGACAATATGATTAAAGTTTAGAAAAGTATACAATTACATTTTAGTATTCAGCTCTATCTTTTAAATTGAGCTTATACACAAAGAAATTGGAAAGACACAATGCTCAAATTAAAGAAGTTCCACTAACATTTCAAAAATAAAGTCATTTTTATGTATATTCTTATTGGCACAGTTTGTCGGGGTTGCAGACATAGTTCTTCCTAGGTAGCATTATAAGGAAAGCCAAGCCCAGTACTACACTGACAGTGGCTATAATGAAGTCCTCAGTTTTTAAAAAGTGAACATAATTAAGATTCAGATCATACTCTGAAAAGTAAGTAACTTCTTTCATCATTTTTATAGCATCATAGTCTCTGTTCCAGGAGGTGATTTAATGCCAAGGATATTGTAGCCTAAATATCACATGAAACATCTGTTGACCTTTCAGAGTTTCTAATGAGTGTTTTAATTTGATTTTAAAGTGTATATAATTTCTAATTGTGTCTAAGGTTTGAGGTTTTTTTCTTTCTTTTTTCCTTCCCCATAGAAAAATAAGCCTCCCAACCCACCAGCCTATATCTTCATGATTGATGTTTCATATAGTAACATAAAAAATGGCCTTGTGAAACTCATATGTGAAGAACTCAAGACGGTGCTGGAAAAACTTCCAAAGTAAGAGAGCTGTGTGCATTTTATACTTTATGCAATGATGGTGAATTATTAGATGGGCCAAAAAGTTAGTTCCAAACGACTTGGTCAGGCCTCCTGCTTTTGAGAACATTTACAAATCAAACAGTACCACACCATTGTGTCCTAAAAAAGTCAGAGTGATCTTTTACAGAATGCAAAAGAAACAAATCTATAAAAAAATAAAGCTTAATTTAAAAAAAAAAACAAAAACACAAAAACTCCAAACAGTCTATGGGAATAATCAAATGAAACACTATGTGAATGAAGGAACGTGTGAAACAAAACGTAGATGAATTTTGCATGAAAACCAATATAAAATTTAAAAAAATAATAAAGCTATGGTAAAAACATTCTAAATATATCATGAGTTGCAAAGAGTCCTAGCAGAAGGGTCAGAGGACTTTGGATGTCTCATAATCGTTTTGTCAAAAAGCTTTGATTGCTTCTCCAGTGGAAACTGGGTGTGAGGATGACTGAATGACTTGCCAGAAAATGAAACTTTCCAGAAGCAATAGCTTTTAGGCAAATTTCCTTCTACTCATGTGGTATATTGTCTAATCTTTTTATAAACTTTATTGCCCCTCCAGCCTTGAAATTAACAAGGTAAAATGTGTCACTATTCTTGCTATTGCAAAGGTACATTTGTAAACATGATGCTGGTATACAAATGAACTGTTTAGGATAAAGGGTTGATACCTAGTAAGAAGACTCAGAAGCAGGCAAAATGCCTGCCTTCCTAAGTGGAAGACCTGTTGAAGAACGTAGAGCAGGCTGGGAAATATCTCCTGTTGCCTGGTGTCTGTTGTAGAGAGATCTCATGGGATAATCCCTTAGGAGTGGCGCTGCTCGCCCAAAGGCCCCTCATGTCTCTGGATTTCGATTCCATGATCAATCAGCTCTGTGGGAGAAAGACAAGCAGTCTTCTCCTGTTGTGATTTTCAGCTTTGGAAACTTTGTGGAGGGTCAGCTGTAAGTAGAAAGAGTCAGCAGTCATTGAGTGTCTGTAATACTTTCACTTCGAGACTTCCCCTGGCTCCCTGAATGTAAGCATTTTTTTTTCCTGTTAGAAACAGGAATGTTTGAGGGAGAAGATGTTGTCTTTAGCTTTCAGGACTCCATGAAACCCTGAGCTCTGCCTCCTCTGTATTTCTTCCACATGTGAAGGGTATATTTGTTCATCTGAGATTCAGATGAATGGACCCTGGTCCTCCCAGGCGTCATTTTGTTTGTATCTTTGAAACTGAAGTCATAATATTCTTGAGGATGGTTTGGAAAAGCAATGAGAATGTTTAAAAAAAATCTCTAAGGTGTTTTCAAACTGAACTCTAAAATGAAGAATGAGCCAGGAGCAAACTGAAGGTGCTGGTCTGGGAAAGGACATCTGATGTCTGCAAGACTTTGTGTCACTGTGCTTTCTTCCACATCGTCTTTTGAAGGCATGTAGAATGTTTGGGCTTCCTACTGATTTCTTTTTAAAATAATAGAACTCCCTTACAGGGTTGTTTTAATTCTGTATTTGTTTCTTAAGACTACCCTAACAAAATAGAAGACTGTCATTTAAATGACAGAATTAATTGTCTCGGTTTGGCTAAGTCATGGTGTCCACGGAGCCTGGCTCTCTCTAAGGGTGTTCACAGAGGCAGACCTTTTCAGGACATTCTCAGCCTCTCATGTGCTCCTTGGTGTATAGCTGTAGCGTGACTGAAATCATCACATGACCATCTTTCCTCTGTCTCTGTGTCTTCCTTTTATCTGGGGCCCCACACTATTCAAGTATGACCTCACATTAACTTGACAGCAAACATATTCAGAGACCTTATTTCAAAACAAATGCCACATTCATAGGTTGCAGTGGTTAGGATTCATCATACCTTTTTTCTGGAACAAATTTAATCTATAACAAATTCTAACCCTGGAGTTATACTTCGTTAATATGAAATAAAACTGATTTCTGGAAGCCACTTTTCATTCTCTTCCTTGAATTGACCCCAATGAAGCTAATTTGTTTTCATCGACAGTTACTCTACCGGCCCTTTATTCTTTTACAACATGGTAGTAATCTGAAGCTTATAAACTGCCAATTTAAATTATGTGATGACACACTGTCCTTAGGTCTCATCATAGTTTTTATATCCAGTTGGAGCAGATATGTGTTCATGGCAAAAGTTGTTGTTAGGTGCCTTCAAGAAGACTACAAATCATAGCAACCATAGAGCAACAGATCTCAAACGTTCCCAGTCCTGCTTTATCCCCACAGTCTGTGACGTGCTCAAGTCCCTTATGTCAATCTTTGGCCAAAGACAAGTGAGGAAAATACACAGATACTGTGTGTTATTAACTCCCATTTTCCAAATATCTCAAAAGTTTTTATTTAAGACCCAAAACTCCATTATCTTCTAAAGCAAAATTCTTTTTCTACCCTGAAATCTTTTTTGGTGTCTGTTTGTAACTTTATCTATCCAATTCCTAAACAACATGCCTCCAGAAACTCTATGAACTTTGATAAATATCGATAGTTGTAGAGGGGCTTCAGGCCTGTGCTTGACTTGAAGGCAATCAACAACAACAACAAATAGATATTTTTATGGTGAGAGTGCCATCTATTTGATCTGCTTCTTTGAGCTAAGTCAAGTAATACACAAAATAGCCTTTTTGAGAGCAGATCTTGCTGTTGAAATCTAGAGTGTCATCATTTCTTAGCTAATCTTTTAGAAACAGAAAGCTGCTTTCTCCAATATTTAACTTTGAATTTTTAGATTACTCTTGCCAGGCGTCTCTGTAACAGGAAAGAAGATATAAAGTGCTCACCTATTGATGAGGTTTTTGTTTTCAATGTCATTGTGGATAAAATAGAAGCTCCGGTAGCTGAGTAGATAGGGATTTACACTAACAGCCCAAAGGGGGGTCAAATGAATCCAGAAACTGCTTAAGGCAGAAAGATGAGCAGTGATTTATAGCCTCTGAAAAGCCACTAGAGGGTCAGCTATGAATCTGTTCTGATCCCACAGCCATGAGTTTGAGTTTTTAATATATACAACGTTCAAAGTGCTTGGTATCAAAACATCTGGTTCCTCCCTGTTGCTAACAGCTTCAGAGTTACTCCATCAGAATATGTATATCCCAGCTTTTCATGCCATTAAAATAATACGGACAAGTTTGGGGGGAAGGGAGGGATTGAAAGGCAGAAGATGTACAATGCTGTGTTTTTTATGATATCTCTTAAGTAATTTCACAAAACTTGTATAAAATGATACGGAGGAGAGGGTGAGACTTCGCTCTCTTCTGGATATGATTTAATGAGACATTTACACTGTTGAACATTTCTCAAAGTTCTGTGTTTCTCAAATATTTTTTTTAAAATTATGTTCCCATGGAGACAATTACTAATATTTTGCAATAATATGAGATGTTCTGATTAAATACTTTTATAAAATGTTCATTTAAATTTTAAGTGATCCGTATGATGCTTTCTCTATCACTTGAAAATATCTAAACCCAGTGAGAAATAATGTTCCAGATACTTCTTGGTAGTTTTTCTCTTGTTTGTTTTACCTTATTTGATTCCACATTAGCTACTAAAAGAGATTAATGTCCTGCATAACTTTCTAGACATGTTTCACCTTGTGAACTAGAAAGTTAACTGGAAATTGGGAACAGATTCAGAGCTATGCAGGTGAACGAGCTCTCGTATAAATAAATACATAAAGCCCTAATTTGTAGTAGGGAGCTCTGGTGGCCTATTGGCAAGAACCTGGGCTGCAATCCCAAGGCACACAATTCGAGTCCACCAATTATTCTGTAGAAAGATGGGCGATTAACTGCCTTTGAAAACCCACTGGAGGATCAGCAATGGGCCAGTTCTGACTTGATAGTACACAACAACAACAATTTGTAGTACTTGCTGACTTCTGTGATGTAACTACTCTAATCCTCGTTTATCTTAAGCTACATGGGAAGCCCAGAACACCTTATCATGCTAATGCAAAACCTATACGTGGACCAAGAGGCAATCGTTAGAACAGAGCAAGGAAACACTGCATGGTTCAAAATTGGGAAGGGTGTACTCCAGGAATGCGTCCTACCTCCATACCTTTTCAACCTGTATGCAGAGCAGATTATCCGGGAGGCTGGGCTCTATGAGGAGAAGTGTGGCATCAGGATTGGTAGAAGATCTGTCAAAAATCTGCATTATGAAGATGACACAACCCTGCTTGCTGAAACTGAGGAGGACCTGATGCACTTGCTGCAGAGGGTCAAGGACTGCAGCCTTCAGTATGGACTGAGGCTCAATGTCAAGAAGACAAAGATTCTCACCACTGGACCAATTGGCAGCATCAGGCTGGATGGTGAAGAGATTGAGATTGTTAACAACTTTAGTCTGCTTGGCCCCACAGTCAACACCTTGCACCAGCAGCCAGGAAATTAAAAGATGTACTGCCATGGCAAAGTCTGCTGTTAGGGACCTCTCCAAAGTACTGAAGAGCAATGGTGTCTCTTTGAAGACTAAGATGCATCTGATACAGGCCATGGTCTTCACAATCACTTGTTATGCATCAGAGAGTTGGACAGTGACTAGGGAGGATAGAATGAGAATTGATGCCTTTGAGCTGTGGTGCTGGAGAAGAGTATTAAATGAATGTACCCTGAACTGCCAAGAAAACAAACAGATTCATCCTGGATAGGGTTAAACCGGCTGCTCCTTGGAGGCAAGGATTCTGGGGCTTCGTCTGACATACTTTGAACATATTCTAAGGAGGGACCGGTCCTTGGAGAGGGACATCATGCTTGGGAGGGATGACACAGGAGGGGAAGACCCTCTATGAAGTGGATTGATTCAGTGACTGGGGTAATTGGGATTTGTGTGTCGGAGACAGTGCAATTGGCACAGGATAGGGCAAGGTTTAGGTCTGTTGTACATAGGGTCACTATGAGTCGTTAGCGACTCGACGGCACATAACACCACCACCACCACCACCATGGTGATGTCAATATAATTGAGAAAAAAAATACACATAATTAGTTTATAAATACGAACTCTAGCTTGACCATCCCAGAAACAGTGTTTTATCACCATAGTAATTGTGATTAACAAACCTCTGTTTTCCCACATTTTACTAGATAGACTCTGTGGGAGGAGTAAAAAGGGAACAGAGAGCATAAGACCTGGGGTTGTCTTTTACTGGCTCCTAGTCAAAGGCTCATTAAAAATTAAAAGACATATGCTAAGAGCTAAAGGAAGGAATGTAAGAATTTGAAAGAGGAAATAACTTCTGGTTGATTGTATCAGAGAAGGTTTCATAGAAGAGCAGAGATTTGCTCTTTGTCTTGAAGAAGAGCTTCATAAATGAGGGGGTAGCATGAATGTCGTGGTTTGGTACAACTTAAGATATGGAGTGATGTATCAAGAGGATAAAGATTCCGACTTCTGCAAACTTGGCATAAGATTTTAGAATAATGGGAGAGTGTTTAAACTGCCCCTCCACAAGTCTGCCCAGGTCACAATCAAGACCTAATACTGTCAGCAAAAGAAGGAACAAAGAAACAAAACAGATTTTAAACTTCATACTTTGCCAGCTGTGGTGTGCTGATACATCAAAGCAATTTGCAGATCTGCACTGGAATCAACAATCCTGAACATCAAATGCTTTCATCCGGATAGTTCCTGTCCCCTTTCTTTTAAACTCCTCCAACTCCGTCTGCCCTTTACAAAATTTAGAAACTGGACAAACAGGGTTCCTTTAAAAAAAAAAAAGAAAATCGCCCCTAGGCAAAATAAGTTTTACTGCCACCTGAAGGAAAAAGAAAAAAGCCTATTTCTTGTGTGACTTTAACTATTTAACTATTAAACACTATTTTAAGTACATCATTAAAAAGAAATGTATCACATTTGGATGTTTTCTTTTTTCAGAGAAAATAATGACAGTGCAGTGTATTCTAGCAAATATTTGACTAGAGGTTGATGTGTTAATTCTGTCTATGTAGTTGTTATGTACCATTGATTCAGAATTGACCCATAGCTGACTCTCCAACAGGTTTTCAGAAGCAGCCAATCACATGAGAAGAGATTGCCCATCTTTATTCCTGGAAACAGCTGGTTGATTCAAACCATGTAACTTTGGGTTGGCCTTGCAACTCCTTACTATTCAGCCAATATAAAGTGGATTGAAAACATTCACACCTTTATTGTCGTCTTAGAAAGATTAAAGCCTTGTTTTGAATCCTTAAAAACAAAAGTACTTTTATTATTATTTGCTGCTTTTATTTCCTAGCCATGACTGTCACAAATGATCATCTAATAATTGTATCTTCATTTAGTAAATTAATTTTGTGTGTTGACATGTTTTCTAGTTCTCAAAATTTAGCCTGAGATCCTCGTAGAATGAATAGAGGGAAAAAATTATATAGGCAGAGCAAGTCCTTTCTTGCTAAAATTCGCCATCCTGTTAGGAATCTGAGTGGGGCTTCCCCTTGCTTCAGCTATTCCTTTTGTTCCTCTGACCTTCTGGTGACTCCTGAGAAAGCTTGGTAAGAAAGAATGTAATAAAGCCTAGCTTGTTCAGGGAAAAATAGTGAAATAAGCCGCTGAAATTTGCTATGGAGTGAGAATGAATTTATTACACATGTATAAGCGCATGTTTTCATCATATCTACTGTATTATCTCCTTTGCTTTTTTTCCTCTATAAACCTGCTTATTTTTGTGATAACAAAACTCCTTCTTCTTCAGTCAGTATTATTTACATTTCATATTAGAAGCTAAGAACAAACTTTTAAACATCACTTCCATATATTTTATAAAAAAAATGGTAAATTTCAAATAACTTCTTTCTCATGAAACTTGGCCAAAAAAATGTAAATTGCTTTTGTTTTCATTCTTTCATAGGGAAGAGCAAGAAGAGACCTCTGCGATTCGAGTTGGTTTTATCACATATAACAAAGTTCTCCATTTCTTTAATGTAAAGAGCAATTTGGCCCAGCCTCAGATGATGGTGGTGACAGATGTGGGGGAGGTCTTTGTTCCTTTGTTGGACGGTTTCCTTGTCAACTATCAAGAATCCCAGTCTGTGATTCACAAGTAAATATTGCACGTTTTCTAATTTCAGTACAAATCGGATGTCTATCTTTATTTGCACTTTGTTTTGACTCAAGTCACACATTGTTTTGTCATTTTGTCAATGGTCAGGGGATTTTAAAACATATTCCTTTTGTTAGCACTGTGTCCTTTGAGATGTCCCTGGGTGGTACAAGTGGTTAAGGTCCTCAGACACTAAATAAAGATTGGACGTTTGAGTCCACCCAGAGACACCTTGGAAGAAAGATATGGTGGTCAACTTTTGAAAAATTAACCATTGAAAACCTTACCAGCGCACAGTACACGTGGAATCGTCATGAGCAGGAACTCACCCAATAACACTGGTCTCTTTCTTTAACATAGAATGGTGTCTGAAAGGAAGGATTTTATATATATTACTCCCTCAGTCTTATCAATTCATTCTCTCTCTTTTTCTCTACCTTTCTTTCTGTCTGTATCTTTTTTCTTCCCCCCCCCCACTCTAAGAAGGTAATGCAAAGTACCCTCAGAAAGGCATTTCCAGTGTGTGTAGACCAGTTTATGCAATGATGCTTATGATACCTCAAGATATAGCCATTGTTTCTAGAATAGTACTAGACATCAGTAATATAGCAAGTAGAGAGGAATGTGATTAGGTGATTTTGCAGGTGTTTGAGCCAAATCATAAATTTTGATGTTGAGCCAAGTCAGGATATCAGATGGTCCTTTCCTGAAGAATGATCTTTGAAATTCACCCGTGGGTGTCGGGCATAAAAATCTCTGCTGTATATGTTTAGGCTTGAAATGTCAGTGATTTGTTCCTTGAACTCTGTTAAAAATATGCTTAACATGTAAAACCTTTTGCTCACTGATTTTCTACAGTTTATTGGACCAAATTCCAGAGATGTTTGCAGACTCGAATGAAAACGAGACTGTCTTTGCTCCTGTCATCCAGGCCGGCATGGAGGCGCTCAAGGTAAGAGGAAGAAGCCTTTCTGGTTGCTTGGACAGATCCTTTAAAAACAAAGAGGCACAAAAAAAAATGTCTTTAAAAATAAAGCTCATCTGTGAAGGAACATTCAGACTTTATTAAAGCATGGAGGTTGCTAATGGCTATTTCAAACATCCCCACAAACCACAAGAGGAAAGGGTCCAAACCACGAATTGCTCCCAGCATTTACATTCCAGCGTTATTAACATCTGAGCAACTGATTTTTGTCGGGGTTTCCAGTTTAACTCCTCCCTTTGGCTTTTATATGAACTTTGTGTGAAATTAGTTCAGCAATATCTGAACCTCTAGATATGAGGACAGATATTGCCATATCACCCTCCACTTCCTTGGGCATTCAGACGTGCAGGGGTACAATGGTGGGGCAGCCAGTGGCAGAGCTGGCACTGCTATACAGGCCCACGCTGAATCTAATAAGAGGCACCAGGTTGCTTGTATCTCCAGATGATAAACTGAGCCCAGGTGGCTGAACATTGTCATAGAATTGAAAGTAATCTGAAGATTTTAAAGCACTTTTTCTTAGTCATCATTACAAGAATCAAACCACTTTAGCCCTGACAGCTAGTTCCTACAATTAATTTTAAAATTTTGTTGAGGTTAAATTTAAATGTGCCATCCATCAGAAAGCTGGACAGTGACTAGGGATGATAGAAGGAGAATTGATGCCTTTGAGCAGTGGTGCTGGAGAAGAGTATTGAATACACCATGGACTGCGAGGAGAACAAACAGGTTTGTCCTGAAAAGGGCGAAACCAGGCTGCTCCTTGGAGGCCAGGATTCTGGACCGCCATCTGACTTACTTTGGGCATGTTGCAAGGAGAGACCAGTCCTTGGAGACAGATTTGGAAGGGTGGAGGAACAGCTCAGGGGAGGAAGACCCTCGATGAGATGGATTGACTCAGTAGCTGGGGAAATGGGGGTAGATGTGTCAGAGACAAGAAGGTTGGCTCAGGATAGAGCAGGTTTCAGGGCTGTTGTACATGGAGTCGCTATGAATTGCAGGTGACTTGACAGCACATAAAAACAACAACAGCAGCAACAACTTGGAAAATAAAATAATGTTAGAGATAATGATAACAAACAACACAACAGTGCAGAAATGAGTTTATGAAACACTTGTCTATAAAGTATGTCTAACATCAGTATTTGGGTCCAGTGAAGTGATTTTTTGCCTAGATTTATTTGATCTGCAGTCTCTCATTGAATCCAAGACCATTGAGAATGTTCCTCAAAAACAAGTCAAGGCCCATGTTAAATCTACATGTTTTATAGTTGATTTGCATCATAAAATATTTTCAAGATTTTTAGTGTTGACCCAATAGTTGCTGATGGTGATGATTGATTTGACTGTAGGAAAACTTAAAACTCATGCTTTCTTTTATAGTCTCAGACTCATTGTCTCAAGTCAAAACTGGGTAATAGCCAACCCTCAAGTGGGTTTTCTGAGCCTATACATCAGATAAAAGGACACAGCCCGTCTTCCTCCTTCAGAGCTCCTGGTGGATTTTAAGCACCAGATCAGCGCCGCCTCTGTATTAGCAACACATCTCTCTGCAGGCTGAGCCCCCAGGGTTCTCTTTTCTTCTGTATTACTAAACTCAGACATCTTTCGCTTCTATTTGAAACAAGTTTGTTGTTGTTGTTGTTGTTCTGTCTTCCAGGAAGGATACAGCAGTCATGGTTCTTGCCAACCAGAGTCCAGTTCATCCCAGAAAATGTTTATTAATGTCTCGTTGTGGTTGTTGTTATGTGCCATCGAGTCACTTGTGACTCATAGAGACCCTGTGTACAACAGCCCTGAAACCTGCTCTGATACACCCATCCAGATTACCCCAGTAACTGAATCAATCCGCCTTATAGAGGGCCTTCCTTTCCTGCACTGTCCCTCCACCCTCCCAAGCATGATGTCCCTCTCCAAGGACCAGTCCCTCCTTACTACATGTCCAAAGTATGTTAGACGGAGGCTCAGAATCCTTGCCTCCAAGGAGCCGTCCAGTTTAACACTTTCTAGGATGAATCTGTTTGTTTTCCTAGCAGTCCATGGAACCCTCAATACTCTTCTCAAGCACCAAAGCTCAAAGGCATCAATTCTCCTTCTATCCTCCTTAGTCATTGTCCAGCTCTCTGATGCTTAACAAGTGATTGCAAAGACCATGGCCTGTAGCAGACACCCCTTAGTCTCCAGAGTGACACCATTGCTCTTCAGCACTTTGGAGAGGTCTCTAACAGCAGACTTTCCCATGGCAATAAGTCTTTTAATTTCCTGGCTGCTGGTGCTAAGGCTGTTGACTATGGAGCCAAGCAAACTAAAGCTGTGAACAATCTCAATCTCTTCACCATCCATCCTGATGCTGCCAATTGGCCCAGTGGTGAGAATCTTTGTCTTCTTGACATTGAGCCTCAATCCATATTGGAGGCTGCAGGCCTTGACCCTCTGCAGCAAGCGCTTCAGGTCCTCCTCAGTTTCAGCAAGCAGGGTTGTGTCATCTGCATATCACAGATTGTTGATAGATCTTCCACCAATCTTGACCCCACATTTCTCCTCATAGAGCCCAGCCTTCCGGATAATCTGTTCTGTATACAGGTTGAAAAGACATGGAGAAAGGACACATCCTTGGCATATGCCCTTCCTAATTTTGAACCATGCAGTGTTTCCTTGCTCTATTCTGAGGACTGCCTCTTGGTCCAAGTATAGGTTTCGCATTAGCACGATCAAGTGTTCTGGTATTCCTGTTCTTCTCAGAGTCAGCCACAGTTTGTTATGATCCACACAATCAAATGCCTTTTCATAGTCAATGAAACACTGACTGCATGTTAATTTTTATTTGAATTTTGTATTAGAATACTGTATCCTTTTACATGGAATTTTCAAATGGGATGGAACCAATATGAAATATAATAACTTGGAAGTATCAAAGTTAATGACTAGCATTTGTATTACAAAGAAGAAGGTATAAAAGAGAAATGATTTTGTGAAAGAAATATGTCTTGTTAATACCAATTAAAATATGGAACTATATTTATAAAATGACACTTTTGGGCAAAATGTCAACACCAATTAGTAACACATGTCTGCTGGCAGAGTAAATGCTGAGTCTCTGCAACACCAGACGTCACACAAAGGTTGATGAATGTTTATCAACTTTAGAAAAATAAGTAAAACAATACTGAGCTTTTGTGCATGTAACACACATATTGTGTTTTGCATACCACACAACCATTATTGTTTTACGTTATTTTCATAAGCACAACACATCACTATTTTTTACATTTTGTAAATGTCAAATTTGGGGATTTTCCTGTCCAGTGGATTTAAAGTTCAGTCTTTGTCTTGATGCCTGTTGGCATGGAGGTTTTTTTCCTGGCTACACCTTTCCTAGTTTGCCCTCAAGTTTCTAACGTAGATATTTTCCTGGCAAGATTCTTGTTATAGTGTTTCGAAGCCACTTTTTTCCAGTGCCAGAAGAAATCACTTTTTCTGTTCTAGAAAGAGCCCTTGCCCAAGAGGTGCACAGGTCTTTATATCCCAGGCCCGAGTGGTCACTTCGGCATGTGAGGCTAGTGTGCTATTAGTCTTTGATTCTCCTACCTCCCAAAGGAAATAAAATAAAAAGTTCAAGCTACATTGAAGGAATTAAAAAAAATAATAAGGCCCCGGGAATTGATTGGATACCAGCTGAACTGTTTTAACAAACAGATGCAGCCCTGCATGTGTTCACCAATCTATGCCAAGAAATTCTGGAGACAGCTACCTAGCCAACTGACTGAAAGAGATCCATATTTGTTCCCCTTCCCAAAAAATTGTGATTTAGTAGAATGTGGAAATTATTAAACAATATCATTAATATCACATGCAAGCAAAATCTTGTTGAAGATCTTAATTTTTTAAAAAAATGGCTACAACAGTACATCCACAGAAAAATTCCCAAAATTCAAGCTGGATTTAGAAGAGATTGTGGCACCAGGGATATCACTGCTGAAAGTAAAGAATTCTATAAAGATATGTATTTGTATTTTATTGCCCATGCAAAGCCTTTTGACTGTGTGGATTATGTCACCTTTGGGCTGACATTGAGAATAATGGGAATCCCAGAACACTTAATTGTGCTCATGTAAAAAGTATACTTAGACCAAGAAGCTGTTGTCTGAATAGAGTTAAGGGAATGTTACATCTTTTAAAAACACAAAAGGTGTGCAGAAGAGCTGTATGAGACTCCATCTTACATACTGTGGGCATATAGCCGGGAGGGATCAGTCTTTGAAGAAGGATACCATTCTTGGAAGGGTCGAGGAACAGCGTAAGACAGGAAGAACTCGGATGGAATGGCTTGACACAGTAACTGGGGAAGTGAGGGTCGGTGTGTCAGAGACAGTGAGATTAGCTCAGGATAGAGCAGTGTTCAGAGCTATGTGCCTAGGGTCACTATGAGTCAGAGTCAGTCTGATGACACATAACAACAGCAACATGCCAAGGAAGTCATTTAAGAGACTGACTCTGTGAAGAAGAAATGTGGGATCAGGATTGGAGGAAGACTCATCAACAACCTGTATTATGCAAATGGCACAACTTTGCTTGCCAGAACCAAAGAGGTCTGGAAGAGGACTTGCTGGAGGAAATCAGAGGCCTATATTGCCTTCAGTATAGGTTACATCTCAACATCAAAAAGACAGACATCCTCACTACTGGGCCAATAACCAACATCATGAGAATGGAAAGAAGGTTGAAGTTGACAACTGTTTCATCTTGCTTGCATCCACAGTCAACACCCTGGGCACCAGCAGTCAAGGAATCAAAAGATGAGGGCCTTGAAGACAGCCTGCTGCCTTTGCTGCTGAGCCTGCTCTCCCTGTCCTGGCCCAGGAAGGTGCAGGTTAAAGGCCTCTCTGACCGGAGCCAGTGGGCCACTGCTACCTTTGTTCCCTGCACTTCCAGTCCCAGTCTATAGATCACTCCTACTATGGTTGGAA